TGTGTGTGTGTGTGTGTGTGTGTGTATGTGTTTTGGTACTAGGGATTAAACCCAGCAGTGCCCTGACACTGAGCTATATGCCCAGTCCTTTTCATTTTTTATTTTGAGATAGGGCCTCAATAAATTGCTGTGGTGGGCCTTGAACTTGTGATCCTCTGCCTCAGTTTCCAGAGCCACTGGAATTATAGGTGTGCACCACTATGGCCAGCTTTCTTCTATCCCATTTTGATGGGAAGTCAGAGTTAGGAAGCCCTGATTAAGCTTTCACTTCAGTTCTTTTTGTTGCTGATGGAATGGTGCAAGGCAATGAGCAGTGGAACCTGGGAAGTATGATCACTTATGAAAAGAACTATCTGTCAAAGGATGGAAATTAAACCCCCGCTCAAGAATGGCAATTGGGTAACTATTAAGGAATAAGAGAGGCTAGGGCACTTTTTTTTTTTTTTATATAGGGGATAACCCAAAGGGGCTAAGCATAGGCATGTATGAGTTGACCCAAAGAGCTCTGCCCTAATCCTCATTCCTGCCTGCCTTAAGTTTTTTTAGAGCCAGATTCCAAGGTTCTGTCATAAAAAGCAAGGTGAGCCTAAGTATCACTTCCTAGCAGTGAAACTGAGGCACTGGAAAGAGAAAGACTAAGGGATCCTTAAGTCTGTGCCCAGCCCTTTCCTACTCTACACCCCTTCTTCCAGGTCTGGCTCTGCAACCTACTTCAGTAACCCTAAAAGTTTGTGCAGCAGAAGCCTCTACCCCTGGGCACACCTTCCCTCCTGGCCACACACACACACACACACACACACACACACACACACCTCTTCTGAGTTCCATGTGGGTGAATGGGGAGGTAAGCATCTTTGTGGTGAGCTCAAGTGTGTGGGGAGTATGTGCCCCCAGCATGTCCCCATGTTCATTTGTATGTGAGTTTTTCTGTGTTCATTCATGACAGTGGCAGTACTTGTGTGGGTAGTGCTGCGTGTATACATGTGGTGTGCATGCATCATCCCCGTGTTTGTCTATGAGTGTGTATGTCAGTGTGTTCCAGTCTCTCTGTGAGTGTCGTCCCCAGTCCCCCATCCCCCCCCTTGGATCTCTAATTAGTGGTTTGGGGTTTGTTCCTTTTCCCTCCTGTTCCTTCCCTCAGCAGCGGCGGGCGGCAGCAGCCTCAGCAGCAGCAGTAGCAGCAGCAGCAGCAGAAGCCGCGTCGCCGCCGAGCAGCAGCAAGGAATCTGGAGTCAGAGTAGGATTGTAAGATCGAGCCCAGTGGGAAAAGGAGTGGAGCTGGCCTGGGAAAGGAGCGGATCCCTCCCAGCACCCTCAGGCCACCCGTTGCCTGCACTCTCCCTGCCAGACCTCCAGCGAGGAGAGACTTGGCTCAGCCAGCCTCAGGTTTCCCCAGGTACAAGATGCTAAGAGCTCTGGGAGGGCTGTCCACAGAAGCCTATGGGGTTGTCGGTGGTGTATAGGACACCTGGGTCCACCACCCCTTTAACCTTTCCCTAGGGCACCCCCAAAGAAGCCCTGACAACTTGTCCATGCTCCTGTTCCCCCTTCCTCCTTCCCACCCCTTCCCTGGATGCCCCTTTTCTCTTCTCCCTCCCAGATCCCTTCTTTGGGGAGCTCAGCAAATGGAGCAGGAAATTTGGACCCTCTGCCTCCCTCTCTCGCCCTCCTCATTGGATCCGGAGCCTTCTCCGCTGGGAAAGCTGTAATTAGAGGGTGGATCCCTACAGACAGAGAGCAGCCCCCCCACCCCCCACCCCCCAGTCCCTTCTAACTTTAGATCTCTTCTCTCCCATTCTCCCATTCTCCCTCCCTCTCCCCTCTCCCTCTCTCCGGCTCGGCTCTCTCCATCTGCCTGGCTCCTTGGGACCCGTTCCCCAGCCTCAGGATGGCGTCCTCCCTGCTTGAGGTAACTGCCCCCTCCTCCCCCTAGGAAACCAGCCACAACTCTAAAGTCCTAATCCCTGCCCACCCCACCCCCTCAACTCACATAGACAGTAGCTGTGGTGCTTGTCACTTCCAGGGTCCTTCTGTTGAGAAAAGAGGAGTGGGCTCCATGGAGGGGCCAGCAGGGGGCAGGAGAAAAGGCAGAGAAGTATAGGGTCAGGAGTCAAAGGACAGTCAGAGGAGGGTGAGAGAACATTGGGTTGGAAGGCATGGACCCCTAAGGTCAACTAAGCCACTAACTGAGGAGTGGAAAAGCAATGAGAAAAGGAGGGAGAAGGGTGGAAACAGATACAAACGGATACCAGCAGACGGGAGAGAGGGAAGGCAGAGAGGACTGGCTAAGTGGGCATGGAGTAGCAATTGGCTATAGTTCTTTGGGGGCTCTGGTGCCCTAGGATTCCTGGCCTAAGTAGGATCTTGTTTGGTCTGTGTGGGGGAGGGGCTGGGCCTGTGAGCCGGTGTGCGGAGAGGAGGTAGGCTGAAAGGAGAGGAGGAGGGCAGCCCTGCAAGGGCGGGTGTGTGTGGAGGGGGACTGACCAGGGGAACTGAGCCCAGGCCTGAGAGGGAACCAAGGAGGAGGGACAGGGTCTGAGGCCGCCTGCCCGGCTCACAAATATTTAGCTTTCAGCCAAAGACAAACTTAGCTCTATTTTGGGAGTGGGAGGCTCCAGGGCGGACTGGGCCACTTCCCCTCTAGGCTGGGACCCCAGTATCCCTTGCCTCTGGCACTGGGGATGGATGGAACTAGGGTACCATGGAGGTTTGGGTCTTGAGAAATCACTGACTTTCCCAGGGCTTCTGGGGAACCTAAAGCACAGAATTGGAGGACTCACAACTGCTCAGGACCTGAGTTCTCCTGGTTTCTGGCTCTCTGACTCTGTTTCTCTGTCACCATCTGTGTCCTGCTTTCTGGGTCCCTCTGAAAGAATTTGGGGTTAAAGAGCCCTCCTTGAGAGTCAATTCTTTTCAGTAGCCTTAAATCTCCCCTATTCTTCTGGCATTCAGAAACTCCAATCTTTGTTTCTGGTGCCCTAACAAATCCCAGGGTGATGGGCCAAACAGGAAGTCAACTCATTCAACCTGAAGAAGAGGTGTGTGTGAGATGGAACAGCAGTTCTTTGACACTTGTGTCTATTGGCTGCATGGAAGTGTTAGAGTATAGTCAAGTGTGACTTTACACAGCTGAATTGTGAGAGTACAGGTGTGTGTGTGGTGTGTGTGTGTGTGTGTGAGAGAGAGAGAGAGAGAGAGAGAGAGAGAATATACTGGGCATCTGGGTGGTGATAGTTCAAGTGAGGAATGGTATCTGTGTAAGACTGTGAGATAGTGAGTTTGTGGCTGAGTTTGAGAGAATGGCATGCATGCCAATGAGGCAGACACCATGCTTCTTATTATTCTGTATCCAATGAGGGGTCCCCAAGTGCTATTCTTTACCCTCAGGCAATGGGGACAGATGTCCTCTTACCATCTCCCCAGTAGACTTTTTATTGAGCCATCATTGCAACATTAGCCTTGAAGCTGGAAGAATGTACATGAAAATCCTGGGTCCAGTCAGGGCAGGGGTAGTGTCAGTAGGCATAGGCATCATGCCAGTGTTGCCAGCGTGGCACTGGTGCCTGGGGGAAGGGCAGCCCAGAGGCTTGCTGGATAGACATAGGATTGGGGGTGCATGTGGAAAGAGGAGGAGTCTGTTGTGGAAGTTAGGTTTTCAAGTCCCATCACTCCCTGTGAGTTGAAGATGCCCTCAGCACAAAGGCTCTCCAGTCCCTCCATCTCTTTCACCTGGTTTTTGGTTACCTGGGCCTTCAAACTCTTCCCTATCTCTTTGGGAATCTTTCTGCCTGGCAGTGGGAAGAACCTGGGGTTCAGAGAGGGAAGCAGCTGCTGTGTGATGGGAGGCTCACCTGGATACAGTGAAAAGAAGGGGAATCTGGGAGACAGAGAAATGTGGGAGGGGGAGGTAGGAATGGAAAATTGGGCAATGGACTAAAGATAGAGCTCGATGGTAGAGCACTTGCCTAACATGTGAGGCCCTGAGTTTGATCACCAGCACCCTACATACACTATCACCTTCTTCCAAAAAGAAAAAAGGAAAAGAAAAAAAGAAAAAAAGAAAAGGAAAAGATAGAAAGAAAGAGAAAAAGAATTGGGAAGCCAAGAGAACTAAGAAACTTGGAAGAAGGCTAGAAAGTTAAAAACTAGGAATGGGGACATTGGGTGGTCAGCCAGCCAGCTGTCAGATGTATAGTAGACTTTTCTTTTTTTTTTTTTTAATTTTTTTTATAGTAGTAGATGGACAAAATGCCTTTATTTTATTTGTTTCATTTTTATGTAGTGCTAAGGATGGAACCCAGTGCTTCACACATGCAAGGCAAGTGATCTGCCACTGAGCTACAGCCCCAGCCCTATAGTAGACTTTTCCATTGGTTGGTGGGGCTGGGCATTACACTGTAAGCTCCTTGGAAGAAGGGGGTCCTCTTGCCCTACTCCATGTCTGGGTGAGAGAGCTGGGACAGCTTCTATTTTGTTCTTTCTCCAAGGATTCCCCTTCAGCACTTTAAACCTTTTTTTTTTTTGGATGCTGGGTTCAAGGCTGTGGGCAGGAGACAAATAAATGTAGGGTGGGAATCTTGGGTCCTGGAAGGCAAGACATTTGATGGGGTATGGGGCACACATTCAGACCCCTAAAGTGGGACCTTCTCCTCTAGTTTTCAGGAGAGAGCAATCAGCCAGAAAAGGAAACTGAGACTATGGTGAAACTCAGCCGCATGCACAGCTTTTGATCCCCCAGGAGAGTTTGGTGGCTCTGGTGCCCTGTCTCTCCTTCCCTGCCTGCAGGGGCCCCAGGGCCTCAGCAATCCAGGGCTGGGGTCTCCTGTTGGCTTGGGACCGGCTGCCTCCTTTCACCCCTCCTTCCCTCCCCACAACTGGGTGGGGTCCCTGGGCTTGGCTGAGGCCCCTGTGGCCACAGTGTGAGGGCCGGGCGGGGGACGGCGTCGGCGTTTTTAAAAATAAACCGACCACAGGGAAACCATCGGAGCCGAGCTGGGCAGAGGGGGAGGGGGCGGTCAAGGGGGAGAAGGAGGGAGGAGTGGCCTGGTCTGGGGGTTTTCTGGGGCCCAGCACCACGGTGGTTTTCTCTTAGGTAGGAAGTACTCTGCCTCGCCCCCTACTCCCAGCCTCTCTTCTCCCCCTCTGTCTTTGCCTCTGTTTTCCTTAGCTTTTCTAGCCAAGGCTCATTTCCACCACCTCTCCTTCTTTGTTTATTCTGCTTTCCTCTCTCTCCCTCTTTTTTGTCTTTTTACCTTTCTGCTTTTTCAGGTCCTGCCCATTTCTGCCTCTTAATTCCAGTTCCCCACCTCTTGTCCCTCTCCTCTGAGGCTTTTATGGCACTTCCTTATTCTTTGTAGGGGTCCTTTGCACCCTGGTGTCTAGGTGTCCTTCTAACTCCAAGTTCCCACCTGTCCTGCCAGTGGGGCAGGAGTCAGATCCTGCCTTAACTAACCTTCTGGGGTATCAGAGGCTCCAGGGAAGCCTCTGACTAGAAAACAAACCTACTAGTGGCTCAAATTTGGGATTCCCAAGGAGCCAATTGGTTAGACAGGGGGAACAGCTGGTTTGTACTTGGGGAGTAAGTAATACAGCAGTAGTGAGTGTCCACTCCACTCATTGCAACCCTGAGATCCCAGACCTAACTCTAGTTTCCGTATCACACACACTTACCACATGCTTGGAGCTGCTAGACAGCTCTAAAACCCCTGGATTCTTTTTTCTTTCTTTTTTTTTTTTTTTAAATATCTTTATTTATTTTTATGTGGTGCTGAGGATTGAACTCAGGGCTCATACATGCTAGGTGATCACTCTACCACTGAGCCACAATCCCAGCCCTCTCTCTCTCTCTTTTTTTTTTAACAGTACTTGGGATTGAACCCAGGACCCCTGTGTGTGCTAAGCAAGCATTCTACCACTAAGCTATATATATATATGCAGTCCCTTTGGGGTTCTTAACTCTATTAGAAAGACACCAGGCAATTGGCTTTTGAGAAACTCAAGCAGGGAACTCTACAGGATCAGCTTTTGAATGCTTTTTTTTTTTTTTTTGGTCAAATTCTTAGTAATAGAAACATGTGTATGTTAGCCAGGGATACTGGAGGGCATCTCCTCCTGGGAGGTACTAAGTCTGACCTAGGGAGGGTTACCATGAGCTCCTGAGGGAGGTGGTCTTAAGTGTGGTATGACTTGATAGCAGTGGCTTGATGGGCATTAAGGAGATACCTCTGCATTTCCAAAAGACCCTCTCAAGTCCCACATGCATGTCTTCCTTCACTCACTACACTGGAAAGGTAAAGAGAAACTAGTGACATAGGCTACATGTTGGGGAATACTGAGGCATGGAGGGATGTGGCTGTGAGTCAGTATCTTAGCTACTCCAATTCCCTGCCTTGGAGGGGTCTGAAGACTTTGGGCTCTTCCACCCACCAGCTGGTACCATGAAGCAGGAGGTGCCCACTGCTTGCATGAAAGACATTCTTGCCTCAGCCACAGTCCTGGCTTGGCGGCAGCCCTATTGCCTCTCAATGTCCCAGTGTCTCTGCTGTTGCTTCCTCTTGTCTCTCAGTCCCGGAGTGCCTGCCAAGAGATTCCTTACTAGGGACATGCGGACTTGGGACCTCAGGGAGATCAGGTCACTGCCTAAGTGAGGAGATGAAGCAGAGGCAGGAAGTGGAATAAAGGGTGAAGCCAGCAAAATCGAGAATGGGGGCAGATATGATTTCCTAATACTTCTTTTTCTACCTTTTAATTTTTTTTTTTTTTGAGACAAGGTCTTTTTATGTTGTCCTAAATCAAGCAAGTCTTGAACTCATGGGCTCAAGGGATATTCCTGTCTCAGCCTTACAAGTAGCTGGCACTACAGGTGTTGGACACATGTGCTTGGCTCCATGCTGCTCTTTGAGTTGCATCTTTTTTTCTGAGTCCCTGACTGTGATTTCTTTCTGTTATAAACCTGCTTCCCAGCATTGAGATCATAATTTTCACCTCACTAAGCTGCTGCCTCCTCCTCCTCCTCTTCCTCTTCTTCTTTTTGGTATTGGTGATTGAATACAGGGATACTTTGCCAATGAGCTACATTCTCAGCTCTTTTTATTTTTTATTTTGAGACAGATTCTCATAGGTTTCTGAGGTTGGCCTTGAACTTACTATCCTCCTGCCTCAGCCTCACAAGTGGCTGGGATTACAGGCATGTGCTACCATGTCCAGTATTAGCTGCTGCTTCTATCCCAGCTCTTCTCAGTAATTTAGAGTCTCCTGTTCCTCGAAGGCCTTTACACATCCCTAACAACTCCACATGGTCTCTGCTTCCTGCCTCTTTGGCTGAGGTGTTAGGCTGAAGTCTTGGGCCTCCATTTTCCTTTATTTATTTATTTATTTTTTGGTGGGGGCAGCATCAGGGACTGAATCTCCGGGGCACTCAACCACTGAGCCACATCCCCAGCCCCCATTTTTTTTTTGAAAGAGAAAGAATTTTAAAAAATATTTATTTTTCAGTTTTCAGTGGACACAACATTCTTATTTTTTATTTGTTTGTGGTGCTGAGGATCGAACCCAGTGCCCCGTGCATGCCAGGCGAGCGTGCTGCCTCTTGAGCCACATCCCCAGCCCGAGAGAGAATTTTTTAATATTTATTTTTTTAGTTTTCGATGGACACAGCATCTTTATTTTATTTTTATTTGGTGCTGAGGATCGAACCCAGCACCCCGCGCATTCCAGGAGAGCATGCTACCGCTTGAGCCACATCCCCAGTCCCCCCAAGAGGACATAATACCTTTATTTTATTTATTTATTTTATGTGGTGCTGAGGATCAAACCCAGTGACTCACCCATGCTAGGCAAGCGCTCTACTACTGAGCCACAACCCCAGCCCTCATGACTCTATAGTTCTGCCTGGATGCCAGGCCTCACTGGCGCACCTCTCTTTCCTCTAGTCCCCTATCCTTTCCAACTCTTCCCTGACCCCTCTGCTCCATTCTTCATGTCTCTAGGTCTCAGTCCTAGAGTTTTGCCCTTTCTTCTGCCTTCTCCTCTTCCCCTAAGCAGTGCTTCCTTCTTTCCACAGGAGGATGCTCACTATGGCTCCAGTCCCTTGGCCATGTTGACAGCTGCATGCAGCAAATTTGGTGGCTCCAGCCCTCTGCGGGACTCAACAACACTGAGCAAAGCAGGCACAAAGAAGCCATACTCTGATCTTTCAGCTCCCAAAACCATGGGGGATGCCTACCCAGCCCCCTTTTCAAGCACCAACGGGCTCCTCTCACCTGCAGGCAGTCCTCCAGCACCCACCTCTGGCTATGCCAATGACTACCCACCTTTTTCTCATTCATTCCCTGGGCCCACAGGCACCCAGGACCCTGGGCTACTAATGCCCAAGGGACACAGCTCTTCTGACTGCCTGCCCAGTGTCTACACCTCTCTGGACATGGCACACCCATACGGCTCTTGGTACAAGGCGGGCATCCATGCAGGCATCTCTCCAGGCCCAGGCAACACTCCTGCTCCTTGGTGGGACATGCACCCTGGGGGCAACTGGCTAGGTGGTGGGCAGGGCCAGGGGGATGGGCTGCAAGGGACGCTGCCCACAGGCCCTGCTCAGCCTCCACTGAACCCTCAGCTACCTACCTACCCATCTGACTTTAACCCCCTTAATCCAGCCCCCTACCCAGCACCCCACCTCCTGCAACCAGGGCCCCAGCACGTCCTGCCCCAAGATGTCTATAAGCCCAAGGCTGTTGGCAATAGTGGGCAGCTAGAAGGGAGTGGTGGAGCCAAACCACCTCGGGGTGCAGGCACTGGGTCCAGCGGTGGATATGGGGGCAGTGGGGCAGGGCGCTCCTCCTGTGACTGCCCCAACTGCCAGGAGCTAGAGCGGCTAGGGGCAGCAGCAGCTGGGCTGCGGAAGAAGCCCATTCACAGCTGCCACATCCCTGGCTGTGGCAAAGTGTATGGCAAGGCCTCACACCTGAAGGCGCACTTACGCTGGCACACAGGAGAGAGGCCTTTTGTCTGCAACTGGCTCTTCTGTGGCAAGAGGTTCACCCGATCAGATGAGCTGGAGCGCCACGTTCGTACTCACACCAGGGAGAAGAAGTTCACCTGTCTGCTCTGCTCTAAGCGCTTTACCAGAAGTGACCACCTGAGCAAACACCAGCGCACCCATGGCGAGCCAGGCCCAGGACCCCCTGCTAGTGGCCCCAAGGAGCTAGGGGAGGGCCGTGGCGTGGGAGAAGAGGAGACCAATCAGACACCCCGACCTTCAGCCTCACCAGCACCCCCAGAGAAAGCCCCTGGAGGCAGCCCGGAGCAGAGCAACCTGCTGGAGATCTGAGCTGGGTGGAGGGTCTCCAGTGCCAGGGCCGCCTTGCCAGCCTCTCTTGGCTCTATGGACTATTGTCCCTCACTCTTTTTTCCATGCATGTTGTCTTTTGAGGCTCTACCTTGGCCATTCTGGACCTGGTTATCTCCTTGCACGCCTGCTCAGCTCACCTCCTCCCTTTGCCATGAGCCTGGCTTTCGGCCAAACTCTCATCTCAGGCCCTCACTTTGTGCGCGATTCCTGTGCTCTTGGTTCCTAGGTTTTCCTTCACCCCTTGTTCACAGGTTTTCTCTCCTTGGCTTTTGCCATGCCAACTCACTTTCTTTCCATTTAGCTTCCCAACACTATTTCTCCCTCTTACTAATTCCTTTCTGCTTCACAAGCTTATTTACTGCTATCACTCAGCTTCCAGGCTTGTCTTCCCAACTTACTCCACGGCTTTCCATTCTGCAGAGTTTTTTTCCTTTTCACAAACAAGATGATGATGTTAATGATGATGATAATTTATTGCCCCCTGGTGGCTTCTTCCTTATAGACCCCAGTTATAGGAGGCTTGGGGTTATTGACCTGGCTGGGAGCAGGGTGCCAAGAGTGGGGCAAACCAGTGGGGATCTGATCCCAAAGATGGGGTAACCCCTGGGTCAGGGAGACTGCCCCCAGGCCTATATATTTAACTCCATGCACCCCGAGTAATGAATACTAGTAATAATAATTCTATTTATCTAAGTTATGATGACGGGTCCGGTAGAATGAGCTGGGGAGGGAAGGGGATCCATTTCTGCTAAGGAAATTCTAGCCAAATGTATTGCTGTATAGACAAAGTGGTAGTGGAGGTCTTGTTAATAGAATTTCTATCATCAGGGTCTCAGTGGGGTTTCTCTTTCAATGGAGTTTCTAACAAATTGGGTTAAAAGAGTTGATGTGAGTATCTCTCGATTAGGAGATCCCTAGTATCCCCAGCCCCAGTCAGAAGCTGTGAAACCTCAAGTCCTATGGAGGGGAGAAGGACTGGAATGTATCCCAGCTCCCTTGACCCCAGAGCAGGTTCTTCCACTGCCCCTTCTCTCAGACACCATGATCTCATCAGGCTAATTCCCTGTTGTCATGGTTAGGGAGAGCTTACAGCTGCCATCTAAAATGTGCTCTTTGGGGAAGCCCACCTAACAGGAGGACATTGATTTGGAGATGCTCCTCCTGAACAATGGAGGGGGAAGTCTTTCTCTGGGATCAGATTAAAATAAATCAAGTATTTATTGAGTGCCTATCCTGTGCAAGGCACTGTGCTAGGCCTGGTGCCTAGAAACCATGAGAAAGAATTTATAGAGCTTAGGAGGAAAGAGGTCCCCAAACTGATTTGGGGGTGCATTTGCAAGCTCCCAACCTGGGACTTCCAACTCCACCTCCAGTGACTTTTAAAGCCGCTTAGTGCCTTTGAATACCTTTTCTGAGACTGGATCCTCCTTTTCTGTGCCCTGCTCCCACAAGTCCCCAGGTTAAAGGGTAAAGCTGCTGGAATTTGGGGAGAGGGTAACATTGTGGAAGGCAAAGAATCATCCCCTTGTGGAGTCCTTTTTTTTTTTTTTTTAATTTAATAAAATTTCAATTTGAAATCGTGTCCTGGTGAGAAAAAGGGAAGAGAAGGGTGAAGGGTGGTCCACAGCTTTTCCTAAGCAAAGCCAGGGACTATATTCAGTGCGATATTCAGTTATGCTCGTTTGCATTATATGCTGGAGGTAACACACTCTGTCGGCCACGCACTCCAAGCGGGGTTGTTTTTAACGGTCCAGTACTGTCCGCAGAGTGGGGAAGGTAGAGGTGTTATCTTCCAGGGCCCTATTCTAGTAGTATTCTCACACTACACCTCCGACTTTGGCCAGAGCAGTGACCGGGTATGGGCACCCCAGTCGCAAAGCGGACTAGCGCGGGGCCCCAGCCTCGCCAAGCTGCGGCTCCCAGCGGGCGGACCCCGCCTGGCACGTAACCCGCCCCCTGCCCCGAGCCTGCAATCAGTCGTGCCCGCCACGGAGTTAGCGGAGGAACAAAAGCCACTCTGTGGAAGCCATCCCCAAGCCACAATAGGGCTTTGTGCGGCCCCCGCCCCCCAGAGCGTCCCCACTGGGCGCTCCTCGAGGCCTGGGCCTGTCTCCCGCCTGCGCCCTCTGACAGACTGACCACCCTGCCCGGTCCCGAGTGGCGCAGGAGCCGGTGGGAGGGAGTCGGCGGTCCTAGGCGGGGAGCAGGGTGGGCTCGGGTTACGAGCCCCCTCCCCACCCTGCCGCCGCTCCTGCCCCCGCCCAGGTGCGAAATCTCCTGCCCTCTGGCGGGGCGCGCAGCTTCAAAGTCGCTTTGAAGAAATCCGAGTTCCGAGGATTTCTTTAGTGGGCTGGGGGCTGTGGCGGAAGAGAGGTCTGGGAGAGGAGGCTGGAGATGAGTAGCGGGGGGGCGCCTCGGAGCTGGTCTGAGAGAGAGGTCCGGAGCGGACCCAAGCTCCCACCCCCACCCGGGGGAAGGAAGGCTCCTCGGGACCCCCCAGGGTCTGGCCCTCTCGCCTCCCGGTCTCCGCCTGTCCGGTGCCAGCTCCTGCCCGCCGCAGCCTCGCGGTCCTCCCCTCCCCGGCCCCTCGGCTCCTTTCATCTTCCCTAGACTCCGCTTGGGGTTTTGCAGGTTTCTGGGAGATAAAAACCGCTTCAAATAGCCGCGGCGCACTGCCAGGACAAACAGGGCCGGGCGGGCCATGTGCGCCTGGTTACCGGCCCCGGCTCCGGGCGCCCTGCTTTGGCGAGCCAAGCTCCAGGCGACCCAGGCTCCGGCGATGCCTCCCAAAGTGGGGCCCCCCATTTAGAAGTCTCGGGCAGCGGCTTCCGCGCTGCCTCGGTTTCCCGCCCAGGTCGTTGGGAGGGGCCGTGGAGACCGCCCGCTAAGCCCTTAGAGACCTGGGACGGCGGATCACAGTCGCTGTGTCGCCGGGCCGTCGCGCCCCCTGGTGAAGTTAGTAAGGGAAGACATTAGTCCTGAACTTTGGCCTCCCCAGAACCCACAAATTGTGAAAAACATCCAACAAATGTTAAAGAAGCATTATGGGGGAGTTCACGGTACTTGGGTCAGGCCAGGGCAGTGTCAGGGGACAGAATATCATTGCTCCTTTCCCCCACTTCACATTACAGGATAAGAGGTAAGCACCTGGGCTGGGTTTGTGGTTCAGTGGTAGAGCACTTGCCTAGCACGTGTGAGGCCCTGGGTTCAGTTCACAGCACCACATATAAATAAATAAAATAAATGTTCATTGACACCTAAAAAAATATTTTTTAAAAAAGATAGACACCTAACTGATAATTATGACATAACCTATTGGTGAAAATCCAGTCTTTATCAAAGGGTGGTGGAAATTGCAGGTGGGAGTAATTTCTTGGGTGTTTTGGGGGATGAATGGCATTATGATCCAGATTCAAACAAAAATTTTGCCTGAAGGTCCTCAGCGCTCTCCAGTAATCTGTCAGCATCGTTGACTCCCTCTTCCTTCAAACCTGCTTGGTTTCAGGGAGAGATTTTCCAACCAGATTCTCCAAGGGTATATATCCCCAGTTTGTTGCTGATGGGCTTTGTTTGTTTATTTCATGGGTTGAACCCTGGGACACTTGACTACCAGCCACATCCTCAGTCTATTTTTTTTTTTTTTAAGAGAGAGAGAGAGAACTTTTTTTTAATATTTATTATTTATTTTTGAGTTTTCGGCAGACACAACATCTTTGTTTGTATGTGGTGCTGAGGATGGAACCCGGCCGCATGCATGCCAGGCGAGCGCGGTACCGCTTGAGCCACATCCCCAGTACCCCCAGCCTAATTTTTATGTTTTATCTAGAGACAGGGTCTCACTGAGTTGCTTAGGGCCTTGCTAAATTGCTGTGGCTGGCTTTGAACTGGGGATCCTTCTACCTCTGCTTCCTGAGCTGCAGGGATTACAGGCCTCTGTGGGATTATACCTACCCAGTTGCACTTTAAAATTTATGTGACTTCTCAGGCAACAGTGAACCAACCTAGGTGTGTCTGGTAGTACATTCCTATTATCCAAACTACTTGGAGGCTCAGGCAGGAGGATCCCAAATTCAAGGCCAACCTGGACAATTTAGCAAGACTCTATCAAAATAAAAAACAGGGCTCTGTGGTAGTTCCCAGTATCCTCTCCATTTTTTTTTTCTTAATTTTAAAACAGGGTTCTTCCTAAATTGCCCACAATAGTCCCAATTTTTTAATTTTTATTTATTATTATTATTATTATTTTTATGTGTGTGTATGTGTGGTGCTGAGGATTGAACCCAGGGCCATGTGCATGATAGGCAAGCACTTTACCAACCGAGCTATATCCCCAACCCAATAGCCTCAAATTTGTTATTCTCCTACTTTGGCCTCCCAATCCCTAGGATTACAGCATCTCAGAATAAAATTTTAAGAGGGGCTGAGGATGTAGTTCACTGGTTGAGTGCCTGTGGGCTCATTAACCTGGGTACTGGAAAGGTTTAGAGCCTGGTCACTTAAAATGCGTTCTGTACAGTGTCACTTGGGGGTTCTGTGAACTACAGCCTCTGAATCCCACCCTAGAATCCACTATTTTAAAGGATCCCCAGGTGATTCCTATGTCCCTTAACATTTGAGAAGTACCAGCCATGTACTATTCTTAGTGGTACATGTCTGTAATCTTTGTTACAAGGAAACTGAAGCAGGATTGAAAATTCAAGGCCAGCCTGTGCAATTTAGCAAGACCCTGCCTAAAAAAAAAAAAAAAAAATTAAATGTACTGAGGATATAGGTCAGTGCCGCTGGGTTTAATCCAGTACCAGAAAAACAAAAACAAAATAAAACAAAACAAAAAAAGCAAAGCAAAACAAAACAAAAAATTTGAGAAGTACTAGAGTATAGGTGGGTCACCTGCCTTGTCACAGGTGAGGTGCCTTTTCAGTAAATTTCTGAAACCCTTTTTGTTTTTTCTGGGGGTGGGGTACTAGGGATCTGAATTTGACCACTGAGCCACATCCCCAGCCCTATTTTGTATTTTATTTAGAGACAAGGTCTCACCCAGTTGCTTAGCATCTCGACATTGCTGAGGCTGGCTTTGAACTCATATTCCTCCTGTCTCAGCTTTCAGAGCTGCTGGGATCACAGGTATGCACCACCATGCCTGGCTTGGAATGCTTTGTTTTTTGACCTGGAAATAACTCTCTTGGAGAGAATTTTTCAGGTAGAAAGGAGGGAAGACACAGAATCCAAGAATTCAAGATCTAGAATGTCTCCTAGATTCTTTAATGAGACTGTCAGCTTTTGAGTGTGGGGACTATGCTTCAAAACAATTTGAATTTCTTTTCTTTTTCCCTCTAATATTGGGGATTAAACCCAGGAGTATTCTACCAGTGAACTACATCTGTGGCACTTTAATTTTATTTTTAAGAAATATTGTGGGGGTTGGGGTTGTGGCTCAGAGGCAGAGCGCTTGCCTAGTGAATTCGAGGCCTTGGGTTTGATCCTCAGCATCACATTAAAAAAAATAAATAAATAAAACAAAGGTGTTGTGTCCAACTACAACTAAAAAATAAATATTAAAAAAATATTATTATGGATTTTGCTACATCCCCAGCCCTTTTACTTTACTATTTTGAGACAGGATCTCACTAAAAGATTGCCCAAGCTGGCCTCAAACTTGAAATCCTCCTGCCTCAGCCTCCTGAATAGCCTGCATTATAGGCATATGCCACTGTATCACTGAATTTCTTATTAGGGGTTGGGGGTGTAGCTAAGTGATAGGGTTTGCACTTAGCCAGTATTAGGCTTTGGTTTCCATTCCCACTACTGGTAGTGTTTTTTTTTTTTTTGTGTGTGTGTGTGTGTGTGTGTGTGCTGGGGATTGAATCCAGGTCCTTGTGCATGCAAGGCAAATACTCTACCAACTGAGCTATAGCACCCCAGCCACTGATGGCAGAGTTATGTCTAATAACCTGACATCTGCCTAACACTTTACAACTTTAAATAGCTTTATTTCCATTGTGAGATAATTAGGAATGTGGAAACTGAGGCTCAAAAAATTCAATGACTTTTCCAGTCTCTGGGCAGCAAGATGAAGAGCTCCCATTCTGCTTTAGAGACCAGTTCTATTTCCAGCTTTTGGAATTAGAGTAAGGTTAATCTCATTTTACTTTTTTTCAGTGCTGGGGTTGGAACCCTGAGTCTGGCATATGCTAGGCAAGCCCTGTACTACTTATCTATACCCATATCCCTTGATTTCATCTTATTTTTCTTTTTTTGTACTGGGGATTGAACCTAGGGGTGCTCTACCAATGAGCTACATCCTCAGCCTTTTTGTTTTCTGTTTTGAGACAAGGTCTCCCTAAGTTGCAGAGGTTGCCCTTGAATTTGCTCTCCTACCTCTGTCTCCAAAGTTACAGTGATTACAGGCCTGCACCACCACAACCAAGGGGTTCACTTTGTTTGTTTGTTTTTGGTACTGGGGGTTGAACCCAGGGGTGCTTAGCCACTGAGCCACATCCCCAGGTCTATTTCTTTATTTTTATTTTGAGACAGGGTTTCACTAAATTGCTTAGGGCCTCACTAAATTGCTGAGGCTGGTTTTGAACTTGCAATCCTCCTGCCTCAACCTCCAGAGTCGCTGGGATTACAGGCGTGCACCACTGTGCCCAGCTTCACTTTCATTCTTAAATCCTAGTACCTGATTTGGGTAAATCTACGTTAAATCTCTCTGTACCTCACTTTCCTCGTGATGTATAAAAGCGCACCTCTTGAGGTTGTAAGAATTGTAAAAGTGCTTCCGGTAATGTACTCAGGAAATTTTAGTTTTCCAGGTGTCCCCACCACTCTTTCCAGGAGTTCTGGTGAACACAGCACTGTGCCTGCCTCCAGAGGTCTTCCCTCTGACCTTTCTTTTTTCTGGAGGCTTTTCCTGATCTCTCCAGCCAGTTGCCTCCGACATGGTCTGTATTTGTGTTTGGGCGATCCACAGGCCTGGGAGGGTTTAATTAGGTACTTCCATGTACATGGCTTATTTTGGGCTTTCTCAGCGCTGAGTGGGTGGGAGATTGCTGGGGAATTCAGAGTTGGAAAAAAAAAATAGTAGTCTCATAGGAAACAAACAAACAAAAAAATCCCTGGGCTCTTAAAGGTTGGCCCTACGAACATTTGCGCGCTGTTACCCGGCCGGCCGCCAGGAGGCGCGCGAGAAAGCTCCGGAAGTTGGCCCAAGACCGCCAACCGGGCCTTCTGGTTACTCTTCCCTTCACTTCCGTTGAACATCGCGTCGTCGTTTGTCCTGTGCGACTACCCGTCCGCATACGAATCTAACCCGGGAACTGAGTCGGAGGGGCGCGGTCTGTGCAGTTACTTTCCTGGATCTAGCCGACTTCTGACGTCCTCCTGACTTGCAAGATGTGCTCCCTGGGGTTGTTTCCCCCCCCGCCGCCTAGGGGTCAAGTCACCCAGTATGAGCACAATAACGAGCTGGTAACGGGCAATGATTACGAGAGCCCGCCTCCCGACTTCCGGGGCCAGGTAGTCTAGGCGTGGGGGGACCAGAGGCGTGGGGGCGGAGCAAGGAGAAATGGGGACCCGAGGGCTTGAGGCGTCGGTGGGGTCAGGAAACAGCCGGGGTGCACGAGAGAGTTGTAGGGTGGCAGTATATTTTAGAGCTGAATTTGGTTTGTAAGAGATGCCAAGGAGCTGTGATTGGCGTTAGAAGGATGCGGAAAATGAGGATGGATCTGGGACGTGTGAGGATGCCGGAGAACTGTTTAAAAAATAGGGGACAGTGTCTAGGAGAACTGGGAAAGCTTACTCCGGAACTTTTTTCCAGGGGAGTTCTTTGGAAGGAAAAGCAAGGGAAACTGATGTTTATCGAGTGTTTGTTAAGAGGAGGTTGAGTCAGGTGTTTTCTAAAGTGAACTCTGCGAAAAAGTATTCTAGTTTTACAGATAAGAGAGCCAAGATTTGTTTCTCTCTCACAAGTATTTATTTTGTGCAAATAGGAAAACAGGCCTCTGGAGCTTGTTTTTCTTAGCTCAGCCATGGGTTGGAGATGACAGGGAGTTCTGCAAAGATCTGGGGAAGAGTCTGACTCACTGTCAAACCCCTCACTTCTGGGCTATAGTGGATCGATCTTCCTATTCTACAACCGAACAAGGATCTGCTAAAGACCCCTGGGAGGCTGGACCAAAGCACAAGAACTGCTTTCATCCATCACCGGGAACAAGTGTGGAAGCGGTGTATCAACATTTGGTGAGGCATGGCAAAGGTTTCCTGGACCATGGGCTACAGATCCTGGAGAATCTGAGGTCACCACTCCTCTGCCTTGAGCTCCTCTTCAAAAGGCTGTTTATTTATTTATTTATTTATTTATATATGGACACAATATCTTTTTTTTGTTTATTTATTTACCTTTTTTTATGTGGTGCTGAGGATCGAACCAGGTGCCTCACATGTTCCAAGCAAGTGCTCTGCCACTGAGCCACAATCCCAGCCTCAAAAGACTGTTTTATTCAGGCTCTCTCTCCATGAAAGTGGTCTATAATATAAAATCTTTTTTTTTTTTTTTTTTTTTTGGTGCTGGGGATTGAACCCAGGGATGCTTTATCATTGAGCTACATCCCCAGCCCCCCCCCTTTTAAAAAATTTTTTAGTTGTAGATGAACACTTTATTGTATTTATTTATTTTTCTGTGGTGCTGAGGATTGAATCTAGTGCCTCACATATGCTAGGCAAGTGCTCTTACCATTGAGCTACAGCCCAGTGCCCCAGCCCTTTTTTTTTTTAAATTTTGAGACAGTGTCTTGGTAAGTTGCTGAGGCTGACCTCACACTTGTGATCCTCTGCTTCAGCTTCTGGAGTCATTGGGACTACAGGCATGTGTCACTGTGCCTGGCTTGTATATCAAATCATGTCAAATTTCTGGTTCTTATTGTGGAACACAAGGTAGTGCAACAGTGGTTCCATTTCATCTCTGTTCACTTGTTTTGCTTTCTGGTTTGTAAACCTGCTTTTTTCTTCCAACTCATGCCATTGTCACTTTTGAGCTTTTATCTGAATCTTAGCAAGGTTAGTGTCAGGTTGTATGGATTAATCTCATACATACTTCATTCATATTTAGGAGTGGAGCCACACTACCTGGGTTCAGTTTCTGACTGTGCTATTTTTTAACTGTGTGACTTGGGCAAGTTTCTTAATTACTCTGTCCTTCATTTTCCTAATTTATGGGCTGGAACTTGTCTTACAAGGTTGTAGTGGTGATTAAATGAGTTAACACATATAAATTACTTATAGAACAAGGCCTAGCACACATTAATCCCTTCAGTCATCATCATTATTACCGTTGTCATCTATAGGAAGAAATTCCTAGAAATTAAGTTGCTGGGTTCCAGGGTATATTCATTCATTTATTTTGTGAGCTGTTCCCGAATAGTCCTTTATTAAAATTGTATACATATATGGTTCTATGAACAGCACATGAGTTCTCTACCTGTGTGTTACTAAACTGTGATGTTTGATATTGCAGTACAGTTTAATTTGCATGTGTAAGTGAAGTTGAACATCAATTCACTGTCTGAGCCATTTGCTCCCCGGTTCTTTTTTGGCTCCTACCTCTGGTTGTTGCTTCTCATTCTTTTTTTAAAAATTTTTTTGTAGTTGTAGATGGGCAGAATATCTTTATTTTATTTGTTTATTTTTATGTGGTGCTGAGGATCGAACCCGGGTCCCACCCGTGCTAGGGGAGCACTCTACCGTTGAGCCACAATCCCAGCCCCTTATTTGTTTATTTTTATGTGGTGCTGAGGATGGAACCCAGTACCTCGCACATGCTAGGCAAGCGCTCTGCCACTGAGCTACAGCCCCAGTCCTCTCATTCTTTTTGTTGGCTTCCCTTCCTGATGTCCCTTAAATGTTGATGTTCCTGGGGCTGGACTTCTAGTTGATGAAGCAGAGCTGGGTGTTCACTTGTTTGTCACATATTCCTGTTTAGATACTCCACAGATGTTGCATGTTAAGCCTGTTTAAATTCAGTATCTCCATTTCCCTCTTCAATCAGGCTTCTTCGGGGGCTGGGGATGTGGCTCAAGCGGTAGCATACTTGCCTGGCATGCGTGCGGCCCGGGTTTGATCCTTAGTACCACATACAAAGATGTTGTGTCCACCGAAAACTAAAAAATAAATATTAAAAAAAAAAATCAGGCTTCTTCCTTGGGGTTTTTCATTTCAAGGAATGGCTGTATTATTCAGGAGCAGAAGGTTTTAAGATAGGCTCTGAGGCAAATAGACAGTTTTTAAATTTTTTATTTTTATTTATTTATTTTAAGGTGCTGGGGATTGAACCCAGGGCCTTGTGCATGTGAGGCAAACACTCTACCAACTGAGCTACATCCCCAGCCCCTTCCTTATTCTTTTATTCCCCATTTATGTCACCTTGATTCCTGCCCGTGTCCTGCGCAGGCAGTGGAAATGGGGTTCCCCTTGGTGGAATGGACTGGCTGAGAAATAAAAGCTAAGAAAAATAGAACCAATGAAAAAAACCACAGGTCGCAGAAAATTATTTCTAAACTTGGGGCAGGTCGGGCAAGCTGATCAGACGGATTGAGCTTCTATACTCTGGCAAAATGGAGCCTGAGCCTGCTTTATTTATATTGGGAAATATCAAAGCCCTTCCATAGAATGTTCTTCACCAAAAAAGGTTAAAGTTGGGCTGTCCAGTTCCCCATCTCTGGAGCTACTATGAGAGATTTTCCTAATAGAGCAGAGATAAAGGTCACATGCATTGGGCAATCTGTTGCCCTCGGAGAGCCACAGACAAAGAGTTTGCGATGCCAAACCTAAATCTCCCTGGCTACCATACTGATAGAAGACCCTCATGTAATTCACTGATGGCTTCCTGCACTTGATCAGATGTCTTCCCCATCACTTATAGTGGTGTTGAATCCAGGGGCTCTCTACCACTGAACTTCGTCCCCAGCCCTTTTTATTTTTTTTTTAAATTTAGTATATACAATCATATATACATGTGATGAACCTTTATTTTTATTTATTTTTATGTGATGCTGAGAATTGAACCAGTGTCTCACACATGCTAGGCAAGTACTTTACCACTGAGCCACAATCCCAGCCCTTAGCCTGTTTTATTTTGAGAGAAGTTCTCCTAAATTGTTGAGGCTGGCCTTGAACTGTGATCTTCTTGCTTCAGTCTCTAAAGTGGTTGGGATTACAAGCATGTGCTATTGTCTCTGCTACCTTGCTCATATTAGACTCTTCATACTCAGATTGCTTGTCTACAATTTCTGTGTTTACAATGCCTATTTTGTAGGCTTTTTAAAAATATATTTTAGTTGTAGATGAACACAATACCTTTGCTTTATTTATTTTTATGTGGTCCCAAGGATCGAATCCAGTATCCCATACATGCCAGGCAAGTACTCTACTATGAACTACAATCCCAGCCCATGTAAGTTTTTATATCTGTCTATCTATCTATCTATCTATCTATTTATTTTAGTTGTAGTTGGACACAATACCTTTATTTTATTTATTTTTTTTCACATGGTGCTAAGGATTGAACTCAGCGCCTTGCACATGCTTGGCGAGCGCTCTTCCACTGAGCTACAACCCCAGCCCTGTGTAGGGTTTTGGTAATGGCCAAAGGAGATCACTCAAGGCACCTAACCCAGAACCTAGCACATTATGAACATATTAACTGTTGTAGTTGCTGCTTGGTATTGCCCTTACTTTGTCTAATTATTTCTCAAATTTTGTGTATTCTACTCTCTAAATCTGTCAGATCTATCTCCTTTTCTGCATCCCTACTGGTTCAGGCCACTTCACCTTTGTTTTGGAGAAGTCCTGAAGTAACTTCATAACTGATTCCTTTTTTCTCCATTTTGGTTCCTTCTAATGTCTTTCCACACTGATCCTTCTGAAATGCTAATGCTTTATTCTCTTGCTTCAAACCCTTCCAGAGTTTCCCTTTTACTGTCTTAGCACAAGTTCAGACTTTTTTTTTTTTTTTTTAAAGAGAGAGAGAGAGGAGAGAGAGAGAGAATTTTTAATATTTATTTTCTAGTTCTTGGCGGACACAGCATCTTTGTTGGTATGTGGTGCTGAGGATCGAACCCGGGCCGCACGTATGCCAGGCAAGCGCTCTTCTGCTTGAGCCACATCCCCAGCCCAAGTTCAGACTTCTTGACTGGCTCAGAAAGCCCCAAAGACCTCTGAGCTTTAGTTGTCTCATCTGTGCATGCAAGGCAAGCACTCTACCAACTGAGCTATATCTCCACCCCTGCCCTTACTTTTTTTTTTTTAATATTTTTTTTAGTTATACATTGACACAATATCTTTATTTTATTTATTTATTTTTATGAGGTGCTGAGGATCGAACCCAGGGTCTCTCACGTGCGAGGCAAGAGCTTTACCACTGAGCCACAACCCCAGCCCCTGCCTTTACTTTTTTTTTTTTTAATTCTTTTTTTTTTTTTTTATAGAGAGAGGAGGGAGAGAGAGAGAGAGAGAGAATTTTTTAATATTTATTTTTTTAGTTATCGGCGGACACAACATCTTTGTTTGTATGTGGTGCTTAGGATTGAACCCGGGCCCACGCATGCCAGGCGAGCGTGCTACCACTTGAGCCACATCCCCAGCCCCTGCCCTTACTTTTAATACATGTTTAGTGAAAGAATGAAATGCATATAGGGGGACTTGAGATTAGAATAATCTGAGTCATAGTTTTCTTTCCTTATCAGGCGTGATGTGGGCCTTTTTGGAGTGCTGAATGAAATTGCAAACTCAGAGGAAGAGGGTAAGTTTGTCCCTCCAGCTTCCTCTAGTTTTTTGGTTGGTATCTCCTATCAGCCTATCTCCTCATATTCTTCTTGAATTCACCGCAGTACCCATTTGCCTGGCCTTTTTCCTGTTAGCCCCATTGTTTCCTGTCATCTTTCTCCCCTTCTACTACCCTTATAACCCAGAATAGGTGTAAAGAGGGAGGTGTCCAGAGTCCTTACTGGGCAGAGGGACTTGGGAAGTGCTTGTTCTTGCTTGTTCTCACCTGAGAGAGTACTGCTTAGTAAGTGCCCTAATTTTGAATGGTATATCAGAGTTGTTTCCTTAACCCCACAGTTTTTGAATGGGTGAAGACGGCATCCAGCTGGGCCCTGGCACTCTGTCGTTGGGCCTCCTCCCTCCATGGGTCCCTGTTCCCTCATCTGTCTGTAAGTTTGACTTCCTTCTGGCCCTCCCTGGGCACTGTTCCCTCATCACCCCTTTCCTATTCACACACACACACACACACACACACACATGCTTTTTTTTTTTTTTTTTGATGGACTTTCAATTTATTTATTTATATGTGGTGCTCAGAATTGAACCCAGTGCCTCATACGTGCTTGGCAAGTGCTCTACCACTGAGCTACAACCCAGCCCTCTGCTTTGTTCTTATAGCTCAGGAGTGAAGATCTGATTGCTGAATTTGCCCAAGTCACAAATTGGTGAGTACACAAGCTCTGGGGCCTTATTGGAGGAGTTGTGAACCTTGGAATTTCTTTTGGGGATAGGGAAGTCAAGATGGAGACTTCTTCCATTCCTTTCCTGACTGTTCACCACATTTTCATTCTTCCTACTCACAAAAGGAGTAAAAGAAAAAGTAAATAACAAACATCTTTTCACATGGAAGGGAATGTTGGGTTGGGGTGTGGGAAGAACAAATGTCAATGGAACTCACTTCTGCCCAGGTCCAGCTGCTGCTTGAGGGTCTTTGCATGGCATCCTCACACCAACAAGTTTGCGGTGGCCCTGCAGGATGACACCATTCGTGTGTATAATGCCAACAGGTATGTGTAGGTGTATGAGGCCAGCTCTGACTTGTCATTCTCCCTTCCTTCCAGCCTTGATCCCAGGGAAGTGTGTAGTTCTTGAGCCTGGTCCACAGGGTTCCTTCCAGAACTGGGTTCAGGGATGTTTCATAACTAGATGTGCCTTTTTTTTTTTTTTTTTTGGTGCTAGGGATTGAACCCAGGGCCTTGTGCACGTGAGGCAAGCACTCTACCAACTGAGCTGTGTCCCTAGCCCGACGTGCCCTTTTTCTAGATCTAGCTTTTATCTTACCCACAATATCCCTGATTCTCCTGGGCCCTGGATGGATTAGCTTTCTTCTCTGTGATTCTCCCTCCTTAACTACACTCAGGTCTCCTGAGTGTTAATGTCCCTGCTTTGTTTCAGTTCTCTACTTTTTCATTCCAGCACTATAATTCCTTCCCTGAAGCATCGGCTACAGCGAAATGTGGCAGCTCTGGCCTGGAAGCCTCTCAGTGCCTCTGTCTTGGCTGTGGCCTGCCAGAGCTGTATTCTCATATGGACTCTAGACCCCACTTCCTTGTCTACCCGGTGAGTCCTGGCAGCCTGCTTTGGCAACCTGTCTTAATTTGGCCATCCCATGGGTGGTGGGTGGTGAGAGTTTTGGAAGAAGTTCTTTGTCCTCACAGTACTTCTCTGGGGTATGATAAAAGAAGCATTTAAGGTCAAGGTGTGTGCTAGACAGTTCCATCCCTTTCTCTAGATTCTGTAATCTAGAGAAAGGGATGGAACTAGGGGCTTCTGGAATTATGAGGACAATATATATATATGGGTCATGGAACAGAAAGACCATCTCTTCTAAGGTACTGTGCAGATACACATTTAAAGGAAAGTAGAAGAGAATGAGTACCCATGAGTATAGAAACCATCACAATGTAGAACTAGAATACTCATGAGAAGTAACTAAAAATAAAACCAAAAACTGTTTTAAAAATTATGATTGAAGAAAAAAACCTTTTGGCTAGGTTAATTAATAACAAGAGAAAAATCTAAGTGCACTATTTTCAGGACTGGTGTGTGCCTATAGTCCCGGCTATTCAAGAGGCTGAGATAGGAGTCCAGAAGTTTGAAACTAGCTTGGACAACATAGCAAGACAAGACCTTGTCTAAAAAAAAGAACGAGCCGGGCACTATGGTGCACACACATGTAATCCCAGAATTTGGGAGTCTGAGGCAGAAGGATTGAAGTTTAAAGTCAGCCTTAGCAATTTAGTGAGGCCCTGTCTCAAAACAGAAAGGGGCTGGGAATGTAGTTCAGTGATAAAGCACCCCTGGGTTCAATTCCCAGTACCAAATAAACAAATAAATAGACAAAAAGGGAGAAAGAACAGATATGGAAGAAAAAAGTTTATGAAAATATTTTGTACCTATTAAGACCAACAAATTGGGGGCTGGGGTTGTGGCTCATCAGTAGAGCACTTGCCTAGCATGTGCGAGGCCCTGGGTTTGATCCTCGGCACCACATAAAAATAATTAAAATAAAGGTATGTGTCCAACTACAACTAAAAAAAAAGACCAACAAATTGGAAGAGTATAAATGTTTGATTTCTAGTAAAATGTTACGAAAGTGGATTGTAGAAGAAAAGGATAAACTGTGCCACTAAAAAAGATGCTATACTGAGATGGTTTTATGAAAGTCATATGAAATTGTCCCAAGAATAGATAATCTCTGTTATTTGGACTATTCCACATCAAAGAAAATTTTGGAAAACTTGATTGCGTGTGTATGTGAGAGAGATACTGCAGTACTTTACCATTGAGCTACACACTTGTCCCTTTAAAAATCTTTTTTATTTTGAGGCAACATCAGGTTGCTAAGAGTCTGGCTAAATTGCTGAGGCTGGCCTGGAACTTGGGATCCTCCTGCCTCAGCTTCTAGAGTCGCTGGGATAATGGACATGTACCAAAGGTGTACCACCAGTGTTCCACTGGTCTCAGTTTCATTGATGACAAATAAAACTAAGAAACTTGTGTGTATGTGTATGACTGTCACAACAAATCCCATTAGTGTGTATAGCTATAATGCACCAGTAAAAAAATGTGGGAATAAAAAAAAAAACAGGAAACTGATATATGTACATTGTTATTAACCAAATTCTAGACATTATTTGGATTTCACCGTTTTTTAATGCCCTCTTTCTAAGAAAGTTGCAGGATCCATCCTAATATTTTTTTAAAATTTTATTTATCTTATTCATTTTAGTTATTGATGGACTTTTATTTTTTATTTATATGTGGTGCAGAGAGTCCCAGTGTCTTACATATTCAAGGCAAGTGCTCTACCACTGAGCCACAACCTAGCCCCGCCCTAACTAATTTTTCTGAAACTAATATAACCCTATCACCTACCTGACGATAGATTGGATTTTTCCCCCTTCAATGCTGGGGATTGAACCCAGGGCCTTGTACATGTTAGGCAAGTGTTCTACCACTGAGCTATATCCCAGCCCCCTACCTGACAATAGGTAATACAAGAAAGGGTTTTTTTTGGGGGGAAGGGGGTGGCACGTACTGGGAATTAAACCCAGGGATGCTTTGCCACTGAGTTATATCCCCAGTTCTTTTTATTTTTAAAAATTTTGTCTTTTTTTTTTAATTTTTTTATAGTTGTAGATGGACAGCATGCCTTTATTTTGTTTTATTTTTATGTGGTGTTGATGATTGAACCTAGTGCCTTACACATGTGAGGCAAGTGCTCTGCTGCTGAGCTACATCCCCAGCCCTAAAATTTTATTATTTGTTTATCTATTTTTTACAGTGATGGGAATTGAGTCCAGTGCCTTGCACATTATTAGCAAGTGTTATACTATTGAGCTACATCCACAGTTCTTATTTTTTGAGATTGGCTTCAAACTTGAGACCCTCCTGCCTCAACTTCCCTCCATAGTAATTGGGATTACATGTGTTCCCCTGTGCCTGGCAAATTTAGTATACTTCCAATCAGAATTGGCAAATGATAATTAGAGTTCTTAAAGAATAAATGTGAATCAATTACTTTCAAAAGTTAGAATAGTGAAGGATGACTTGCCTTACCAGGTATTAAAGAAAGTTATTGAGTTATTGGCACAACAATAGAAAAACAGGGCCTAGGAGTATAGCTAAGTGGTAGAACACTTGCCTAGCATGCATGGAACCCTGGATTCAATCCCCAGTGCTACCAGAAATAAAAAAGAAAAATAGATTGATGTGACAGAATAATATTCAGGAACAGATTTTAGGATATATGGAAATTTAATGTATGATAAAGTTGGTTTTTCATTGCAAAAAATGATGGGGCTGGGGCTGTAGCTCAGTGGTAGAATCCTTGCCTCACATGTGTGAGGCACTGGGTTTGATCCTCAGCACCATATAAAAATAAAGACATAAAAAGATACTGTGTCCATTAAAAAAAAAAAAGCCATTAAAAAAAAAAATGACCTGGACCTGGTGGCACACACCAGTAATCCCAGCAATTTGGTAGGCTGAGGCAGGAGGAGTTGCCCAGGCTGGGCTACTTACTATCTCAAAGTAATATTTTTTAAAAAGGGTTGGGTGTGACTCAGTGGTAGATTGCCCCTGGTTTCAGTCCCCAGTACCAGTTGATCAATCAGTTAATTAAAATACAAATATGAAGTTTAACCCTGTCTCAAATGATTACATGGCATGTATATGTAATCACTGCATTCAGAAGACTGAGGCAGGAGGATTTTGAGTTCAGGTATAATCTTGGCAATTTTTTTCCCCAGTAATAATGGGTATTGAACTCAGGGCCTCATGTTTGCTAGGTAAAGGTGTGCTACCGCTGAGCTACATCCCAGCCCTAACCTGAACAATTTAGCAAGACTCAGTCTCAAGAAAGAAAAGAAGCTGAGTGCAGTAGCGCATGTTTGTAATCCCAGTGGTTCAGGAGGTTGAGGCAGGAGGATTACAAGTTCAAAGCCAGCCTCAGCAAAAGTGAGGTGCTAAGCAACCTAAGTTCTCTAAATAAAATATTGATAATTGTTTTTTTAAAGTTGTAAGCTTTTTATTCCTGAATTATAGTTAAAACTCTGCTCTACTAAATGACAATATAAGAGATGTGGATAAAGAAAAAAATTGTGGGCTGGAGATGTGGCTCAAGTGGTAGCGCACTTGCCTGGCATGCATGCGGTTCGGGTTTGATCTTCAGCACCACATACTAACAAAGATGTTGTGTCTGCTGATAACTAAAAAATTAATATTAAAAAATTCTCTGAAAAAAAAAAGAAAAAAATTGTGATACTGGGGATGGAATCTAGGATGCTCTTATCACTGAGTTACTCCTTCCTTTTTTATTTTTTATTCTGAGCAGAGTCTCACTAAGTTTCTGAGGCTGGCCTTGAATCCTCCTGTCTTGGAATCCTCCTGTCTCAGTCTCGAGAGTAGCTGGAGTTATAGGCTTGCACAACTGCAGTAGGCTGAATATAGAAAATATTTTATATAATATTTTATACAATGAAATGTCCATTTGTAGACGCACATCTAAACAAATTATATGGGCTGGGGATGTGGCTCAAGCGGTAGCGCGCTCGCCTGGTGTGCGTGAGGCCCGGGTTCGATCCTCAGCACCACATACCAACAAAGATGTTGTGTCCGCCGAGAACTAAAAAATAATAAATATTAAAAAATTCTCTCTCTTCTCTCACACTCTCTTTAAAATAAATAAATAAATAAATAAATTATATTTGATGTATAAAGCAGAGCCCTAAAAAGAATGAGAATAGAGCTCTATAAACTGATTAGAAAAGATATCTCTGAAATGTTTTTTTTTCTTTGTACTGGGAATTGAACTTAAGTGCTTTTTTCACTGTGCTAAGTCCCTAGGCTCCCCCTCTCCCCTTTTTAAATTAATTTCAAGACAGGGTTTTGCTAAGTTGCTGAGGCTGGCCTTGAACTTGTGATCCTCCTGCCCCTGCCTCCTGAGTCCCTGGGATTACAGCCATGTGTGCCTCTGTGCCCAGCTGCTGTGCTTTCTTTTATTTCTTTGGTACTAGGGATTGAACCTACAGGGACTTTACTACTGAACCACAACCCCTGCCCTTTTTATTTTTTATTTTGAGATATGTTCTTGCTAACTGGCTTAGGGCCAGACTAAATTGCTGAGGCTGGCCTTTAACTTGTGATCCCCCTGTAACCACCTCCCAAACTACTGGGATCATAGGTATGCACCACCACATCCAGCTGTGACATATTTTAAAGTTGAAAATGGTTGTACATCAGTGGCCTATGACCTCATTGGGATTAAAGGTGATTGTAGTTTGGTGGAAAGGGGAAAGTGTGGTATTGTGGTATTAATTAGGTAGTAGCCTGTCCGTGTCAGGCCAATTACATGGCTCTGAAAATAGAGATGAATGACAGGGCAGAAAATCAGGCATGGTGATGCATGCCTGTAATCCGAGCAACTAGGGAGGCTAAGGCAAGAGAATTGCAAGTTTGAAGCTAGCCTCAGCAACTTAGTGAGACCCGGTCTTATGAAAAATAAAAAGAGCTGGGTATGTGATTGGTAGAGAGCCCTTGAGTTTAATTCCTAGTACCAAAAAAAAAGAAAGAAAGAAAGAAAGAAAAGGGACAGCAGGTGCCATCACCTATTTCCCAGCAAAAATCATTGTGTGGCACAGAGATAGGAGACATCCTAACAAAGATAGGTAGAAAAGCAGTTTTGGAGCTTTGGGGACTGGAGGTAACTCTGACAAGTGTTAGGAACCTTGAGATTATGTCATCAATGATCTTAACACTGGGCTGGATGGCCTGTGGGGACAGGGCTGTCTTTTAGGGGGAGCATGACACTCAGTGTCCTTCTGTCTGCCTTTACTGGACAGAAGTTGACTCCTGGGGTGAGGAGTGAAAGCTTACTTCTTTTCACTCTGGCCTTGACATTACACATCACCCATTAATGGCAATGATTTCCTTCCTTTGCCTTTTTTTTTCCCCTTTAATTTCCATGATTGTTACCCCTTTTCCCCATCCTAGATTTGAGCTGGGAGGTACTATTGAGATTGGGAGGTGTTAGGAGAAGCAAAGAAATGAAATCACAATGCTTTCTTCTATCTACTGATCCCATACCTTCTATTTTGTCAGACCTTCTTCTGGCTGTGCCCAGGTATTATCTCATCCTGGACACACACCTGTCACCAGCTTGGCCTGGGCCCCCAGTGGGGGGCGGCTGCTCTCAGCCTCACCTGTGGATGCTGCAATCCTGGTGAGTTGGTCCTATCCTCTCCCTAACCCCTGCTTTTTTTTTTTTTTGCCATGTTGAGGATAGAACCCAGGGTCTTACATATGCTGGGAAAATGCTATACCACTGAGCCACATCCCCAATCTTGTACCCCTCATGCCATCTCAGCTTCTACTCTGACTTGAGGCAAGAAGTTTTTTTCCTGGTGTTAGAAAATATCATGTGGGAGGGAGTGGGATCCTTGTCCAATCTTTAGCTTATCATGGAAGCAGTTTTACCATTGGCACCCTCACAGATTTAAGTGTCTGCTTTCATTGTAAACATAAATCCATGTCCTCATGTTTAACAGTCTCTTTTGTGTACATTAAAGAGGGTAGCCCACTGTAAGCTGATGGGGTGCTTGAGTTTCCTTTGTCTCACTCTCCTGCTTCCTCACCTAGGTATGGGACATCTCAACAGAGATCTGTGTCCCGCTTCCATGGTTTCGAGGAGGCGGAGTTACTAACTTGTTGTGGTCCCCAGATGGCAGCAAAGTCCTGGCCACCACTCCTTCAGCTGTCTTTCGGTATAAGGGAAGGGTAAGGGTAAGGACCTAGAGAAAGGCACTTGGTTTGGTACCTGGAACCTGACCCTGGGACTGCCAGAGGGAGGGGGTCCAGGTGTAGGAGCCTGGAGGCCCTAAGCTATAATTTATCTCTCTGGCTCAGAGTCTGGGAGGCCCAGATGTGGACTTGCGAGAGATGGCCCACTCTGTCAGGGCGCTGTCAGGTAAGGAGACTGATTCACAGAAGCTGGGGAGGTGGTATGTCCAGTAGACTCTAAATTCCCCAAGCCTAGCTCCCTACTTCCTATACTAGTTCCTTTCTGCATCACCCTATAGACTTCCCTTCCCCTGCCTTTTGCTTCCTGACCCCAGACTGGCTGCTGGAGCCCAGATGGAAAACGACTGCTGTTCACTGTATTGGGGGAACCACTGATTTACTCCTTGTTATTCCCAGAACGTTGTGGTGAGTTAGGGCAATACTTCAGAATGTAGAATGTCGGGCTGGGGATGTGGCTCAAGCGGTAGCGCGCTCGCCTGGCATGCGTGCAGCCCGGGTTCGATCCTCAGTACCACATACCAACAAGGATGTTGTGTCTGCCGAGAACTAAAAAAAATTAAAAAAAAAAAAAAAAAAAAAGAATGTAGAATGTCTGGGACAATCGGAGAGAGGCAGCAACCTGTAGGATGGTAACTTGATGGGGTGATGGGTAAAGGGAAGTACAGAAGCTTAGGAGACTTCAGAAATATTGATGAGCTGACTGGGGATCAATGGGAAGAGTGTTTTCTGTACTTCTCAGAACTTTTCCCATTATCTACAGGTGAGGGGAAAGGGCGCGTTGGAGGTGCAAAGTCAGCGACGATTGTGGCAGATCTGTCTGAAACAACAATACAGACACCAGATGGTGAGGAGAGGTGAGCTGAGTGTGGGAGGAAAGGAGGGAGTGTGAAAAGGAAAGGTGGCAAGGGCCACACTGAACACTTCTTGTCCTGGCCTATAGGCTCGGGGGAGAGGCCCATTCCATGGTCTGGGACCCCAGTGGGGAGCGTCTGGCTGTGCTTATGAAAGGTGAGACAGAGGGTAGGGCTTTGCTTAGGTCAGTTTTCCCTATTAAACAAGTATGTCCACGCTTCTAGTTTTCTGCCCCTCCTCTGGTACTCCACTGCTACTCGAGTTCCCTCTGTCAGTGGACCCATTTCTTTTTTTGTGGTCCTGGGAAACAAATCCAGGGCTTTATGCATGCTAGGCAAGTGCCCTGCCACTGAACAACACCCCCAGCACTGGACCTGTTTCTTCTAGGAAACCCACGGGTACAGGATGGGAAACCAGTCATCCTCCTTTTTCGTACTCGAAACAGCCCTGTGTTTGAGCTGCTTCCTTGGTAAGTGCTGGGCAGGCATTTAGGTCTGGGTTCCTGGCCACTCTCACACACTAAACCCACAAGCCCTACAGGCACAACCTCCTGTTGCCTCTCACCTATTCCTATGCTTCCCCTAGTGGCATTATCCAGGGTGAGCCAGGAGCCCAGGCCCAGCTCATCACTTTCCATCCTTCCTTCAATAAAGGGGCCCTGCTAAGTGTGGTGAGTAGGCCAGGCTGCTGGGATTTTGGGGACTGGGGTAGAGAAGCTGAGGGCCCTTGACTGCTGTGTGGCTCTACCATGAGGCTTCCTTGGGACCCAGGATTTAATTTTTTTTCCCCTTATTGTCCTGCAGTGCTGGTCCACAGGCCGGATCGCCCACATCCCTTTGTACTTTGTCAATGCCCAGTTTCCACGTTTTAGTCCAGTGCTTGGCCGGAGCCAAGAGCCCCCAGCTGGTGGAGGCTCTGTTCATGATCTGCCACTATTTACTGAGACATCCCCAAGCTCTGCCCCTTGGGACCCTCTCCCAGGGCCACCAACTCTTCAGCCCCACTCTCCTCATTCCCACCTCTAATTAAAGGTTTGTTTTCCATTCAGTTATTGGACTATCTTTTCTAGGGGAATTGCAGTGGGGCAGGGAGCAAGGATTTGGGAATAAGTTCCTGCTTTGTTGCTTTTTATCTGCTACTTTTGAATTCTTCAGTTATTTAACCCTAGGAACTAGATTCTTTTAAAAAATGACTGGAAAGTCAAAACCAAGAAGTTAGTGTTGAGGAAAACTTGTAGCATAAGGACTTGCACATATTAGATGTTTTGCTTTTGTCAGGTTTGAGCAAGTTCCCAGGATAATGTAGGGTAATAATGAATAAAGGACTGGATCCATAAGAGTAAGTTGTTTTATTGGACTGGGGGATCTGAGGAAGGCATAGGTGTTAAGTGCTGGGCCAGAGTGGCACGGGCCATGCTCAAGGCACCCTCTCGAGTGTGGTGCCCACCAATGAAACCACTGGCATGGACAAAGATACAGCCAGGAATCCCACTGACCTGGTCCAGGGCCTCATCCCGAAGACCCCGCCACGGCTCTGGCAGAGGAAGCCTACAAATGAAGAGAAAAAGGGAGTTTGTGGGAGCAAACAGACCTGAGAAACTGGGAAAGGGGAGAAGATCAAAGGCCAAGGTTGGCAGCATTCCCTAATAGGGCTAAAACAGGCCTGAAGGTGTGCAGAGTCATTCCCTGGTGCCTCACCGGTTTTGGAATGAGTGGGGCTCCTTGGGCACACACTGAACTCGCCACTGTCCAGCCTGGTCAGTGAAGATAACAAACATGATGGCCACAGGGGGGGACAGCCCAGATTCCAGGTGATAGAGATGTTCCTTCCAGGGGCATCCACCTTTTGCCAGTTCTATTATCTTCCCACTTGGGTCCACCTGAAAGAGAAGTAACACTAGAATAGCAGCCTGCCAGCCACCACTGATCCCCAATGCCTTTTCCTAGGCTTGTACCTGGAATCGTCGGGCCAGGGCTTCTTCCACCAAGGCCCGAGCTGGTAGCCAGCTGTGTTGGTAGAAGTCAAGTCTCTGCAAAAACTCTTCTCGAACCAGATCCATTGCACGCCTGAACCCTGCCTGGGAATGGTAGGAATTGGAACCATGGTGCTGGCCCAAACTTTACTTTGCTTAGAGTTTAAGAGAAACAAATGTAGCTGTGTGTGGTGGTACATGCCTGTAATCCCAGAGGTTTGGGAGGCTGGGGCAGGAGGATTGCAAGTTCAAAGCCAGCTTCAGCAAAAGTGAGATACTAAGCAATTCAGTGAGACCATGTCTCTAAATAAAATACAAAATAGGGCTGGGATGTGGCTCAGTGATTTAGTGCCTGAGTTCAATCCCTGGTGCAAAAGAAAAAAAGAGGAGTAAATGTTCCAACTTTCTCTGGGGTTTTTACATCTCAGGGTCTCTTTCCCAGGGGCCCTCTTTACCTCCGTGTCTTGGTTAGGATGGTTCCAGGTGGGATTAAGTCGAGAAACCCGGGCACTCAGAGTAGTAGTCAGTGCATATCGAGGCTCCCCCTCCTCCCACTGGGAGATCCCATTGTCCACTGCGTCCACCTCCTCCACGAAGTTCTCATACATCTATGGCAGCAGCATGGGAAATGCTCTTGAGGATACCTACCATTTGTGCAAAGTCACATAGGTTTCAAATTATGTCCATACATACTATTTCACTTAATCCTCACAATACCCTGTAAGGATCTTACCACTCACTGGATGAAGAAGGGGGGAACCGGGTTTGCCCAAAGATCAGAGTGCTAATAATGCTGGGACGGGGTTTCAAATTACCTGACCTCTAACCCAGGGCTTGCTCACTGTACCAAGCCCAAGCCATGGCCAGCATGTGTGGGGAGGGCACTTCTGGCTTTTGAATAAGAAGGATCTCAGTTCCTAAAGGGGACTATGGGAGTAGATTCCTATCACTGGTGGAGGGTAGAGCTCCAGGTGGGCTATAGAGTCTATTCAGTGGCAGTTAGTGAGTTACAAGAAGGTCTGTAAGCACATAAATTGAGTAGGGAAGAATGAGACCTAGACTAGACATCAAGAGCTAGGATGTGAGGTTTGGGTGCCAGGGAATCCCATTTCCTGAGCTTGAAGAAATGGTAAAACAATGCCTCAAGAGTTTGGGGGCAGAATCAATGTGATTTTCATGCAAAATAGGCCTCCTTTATCATATCTGTGGCATGTACAAAAAGTGTTGGACAAGTAACTCATCTAGACCCAGCAGCACTTGGTTACGGACCCTAATTTGATGCTTGGATCCCCAACACAGGTTTGGCCTAGCACAGTGTAAGACTGTAATCCAAGCAACTTGGGGAGGCAGTAGGATCATAAGTTTGAGGCCAGCCTCCACAACTTAGGCCTTAAGCAATGTAGCAAGATCCTATCTCAGAAAATAAAAGGGGCTGGGAATGTATTTTAGTGGTAAAGCTACACCTCTGGGTTCAAATGCCATTACAAAAAGAAACAAACAAAAAACATTTAAATTAGTAAGCTGCTTAGTAACCTCTCAGCAATGGAAATTAAAATTGACCCTGGCAGTCTAAAAAGTTGCTATCTGCTGGACATAGCACATGCCTGTAATCCCACAACTCAAAAGGCAGAGGGAGGAGGATTGCCAAGTTTAAAGCCAGCCTTACCAATTTAGTGAAACCCTGTCTCCAAATAAAAACAAAAAAGGTTAGGGATATGATTCAGTCATTAAGCACCCCTGGGTTCAATCTCTGACACTAAAATAAAATGTTTGATCTGATGAACCCAGGGCTGTGAGTCCTATTCCTTCCCCAAGAGCAGAAAGCTGCTTGTAGGGAACCTGGTGGAACTTGAAGATATTTTCAAAATTAGTCCCTTCCCAACTCCCATGTTACAAGTGAATTAGAGTGGCGATGAGACAGGTCTTCCTCAAACTTCAGGGCAGGGAGAACCTCTGAGCTTGATGCTTCCAAATATAAGCAGCTTCCTCTATGTACTCAAGTTCTAAGTAATTATTTTACCAGGACTGGGAAATGCTGCTTTGCAATAATAGGTATGGTGGCATACACCTTTAGTCCTAGTTACTCAGGAAGGTGGTTTGAGCCCAGGAATTCAAGGCTGGCCTGGGCAACATAGTGAGATCAGACTGAAAAACAAAATCACCATAGAATAAAAACACCAAAGCCCTTTCCACGTAGTATGTCATCCACTTCTCACAGACACCCCAGGATGCAGATGGAGAGAGATCATCCCTTTGTGAAATGAGACAGATGGGGATGGGGTGGGGTATGGGGTAGTGGTAAATAGTCCAGGAACCCTGAGGCCCAGCCCGGAGTGCTGCATGGTAACATGCCTAGAAGGCCTGGTAGAGATGCAAATGTGGGACATTTCTGTCCTCATATCCCCACCTTGTCATAAAGGGTGTCCACCATGCTGTCTTCTTCACTAGTGCCCAGCAACTGGGCCAGCAATTTGTGCCCGAAGTGAAGATAGATGAGTCCAGCACTGCTCAGCTTGGTCTTCCATGGCTTCCCAGGGCATAGAGAGCTCATGGTATCTGTGAAAGACCTGAGGAGGTAGGGCCAAGGTGAAGAAGCCAGCCCCAGTGAATACTGTGTGCGTGCTCACCTGTGCAGACATGGGAGGGTGGGGCCACTGCAGGAGTTGGGAGGAGAAAGCCCAGCTGGGAGGGGCTTGGCTTTTCCTCAGAGATTAACATAGACCTCGGCTTAGAGTCTCCATTCATGCATTCACTGAACAATGACTAAAACTCAACATTTACCATATCTCAGGTTTTGTGTTTTATTAGACATTCAAGAAAAAATATCTTTGCTTTTCAAATTTATTTGCTGCAAGAAGACAAATACAAGCAACCAAACAAGTACAACTGTCCTTCAGAATCTTTGCAAGACTGGCTCCAGGACACCCTATGGATAACAAATTCCACTGATGCTCAAATATCTTATTTATTTATTTAAAGTATATTTATTTTTTAGGTGTAGATGGACACAACACAATGCCTTTATTTTCTTGTGGTGCTGAGGATCAAACCCGGGTCCCGCCGGTGCTAAGTGAACGCTCTACCACTGAGCCACAATCCCAGCCCTTATTTATTTTTAATATATTTTTTTTAAATTATAGGTGAACACAATGTCTTTATTTTACTTTATGTGGTGCTGAGCTGAGGATCGAACCCAGTGCCTCACGCATGCTAGGTGAGCTTTCTACCCCTGAGCCAAACCTCAGATCATCAGTACCTAATTATTTAAATAAACATTTTGTCCTGTGTACCTTAAATCACCTCTACGTTACCTATAATACCCAATACAATGTAAATGCTATGTAAATATGTTATACTGTATTGTTTAGGGAATAAAGAAAAAAAAATTCTGTACATGTTTGATACAGATGGTTTTAAAGTCTTTTAAAAATTTTAGAGGTAGAACACTACCTTAGCATGCTCAAGGTCCTAGGTTCCATCCTCAGCAACCCCCAAACATCTTTATAATACCTCAGCAATAACTACTTTTATATTACAGTATCACTGATAGTGTTTTGTTTTTCTTCCTTTGTTTGTTTTCAAGATGGAAGATGCTTGAGCAGAGTTTTGGCATTAATGAAGGAAAAATAGAAAGGTTGGTGGCAGAATTGTGATGTGAAGTCCCAAAAGAGAAAGTTTCAGATTGGAATAGGACAGAGAAATAACCTCCCAATAGAAGGAAACAATATTTCCTCTACTGATAGAAGGAGTTGAGGATGTTTCCAGGTTGAAAACTGAGGAAATGCTTGCTGGAAGAGCCCACAGAGATGTGAACAGGGGTTTGAGGTGAGGGAAAAGGACCGGAATGGTACTGTGGATAATGGATTACCCTTGAACAAGAGGATTTCCCAGTGGAAGAGTTTAAACGAAATAAACACTACACATATTTGAACTGTAATTAACTGCCAAAATCAAGTAAGCCCAGTAGTCAGAGGTGGGGCACCAAGGGCACAGGACACATTAATCCCAGATGGGGTATTGGCTGGGCAGATGACAGCAATGGTGAATAAAAGCCTAACTAAGCCAAACAAGTCGA